GATTGTACAGCTATGTGAATTAATTCGCCGAAACAAGTCTCTTCGCTGAACGTCTTCTCTTTTTCATATGACTCAATGGGGATTTTCAAGATATTCGTAAATTTTCTTCAAAATCATGTCTAAGATGAAAGAAAGAATAGATTATGTTAATCATTGTAATCTTTACTTATCCTATACTCTGTTGTTTCGTTTTTAAAACTTTTGTGAATATTGTGTTGAATGCATCAGAACAATAGGTATTTCTTCTTCATTGAAGAATTCAAAAGTTATCATAAAAGCTAGGTGGATAGCCGTGAAATCGGTTAAACTGTTGTAGAATGACTTTGAGTCTAAATGAAATTTGATTTTAATTGTATTTAATGATTTATAAGCATATTCCTATTTATGCTGTATGTATGGTTATTCATTCTTTGACTTCTAAGTAAAACGTAGGGAATCAGAAGCGCATATCCATAGGACTCAGTCAATCACTCCGCCATCACTTTCAGCTGGCCACATGGCAATATATAATCTGCCATTTTCTCTCTTCATTTGATTTTCGTCATATTACCCTTAGACCAACACACCCAATCTGTCGCTTCCCATCCTGGTTCCATTTGAGAACACTATCTGTAATTTAACTTATAGGTTTCCTCAGGATATATTCATACCATCCCTATTTTCTTGAGGGTATTTGTTAGGCAGTAAGTTATTGAGCTGCGTTGATGGCATAGCGGTTAGGATGTTCGCCGACCATGCACGCGGTCCGAGGTTCGATCCCTGGCCGGTAAAGAGGAAAGGTTGGGCATGAGCTGGCTAGCAATCCCATCCTGTAAAACTTAAACACTGTTACAGAAACTTCAAGCCACTAGCTTGAGGCCCTATGTTCCACTGGGGGACGTGAAGGAGAAGAAAAAAGTTATTGACTGATTCGCTCCTAGTTTATCTTTCCCAGCTGACCATATTATCCTTGATAACAAGTCTAGGCAACTGCTGATGGTGTAGGTCCGCAGACTGTAAAGGAGAATTTCGATAATGCGAGCACCCTCCGACGGCCTGGAGGATGATTTCACTTCATTTGCGATATATATATATATATATTATATATAAAGCCAAAGCATTTTACCTGTTTTCCAAATAAGATGACAGTCACAAATTTCCCACTTATCAACAAAACACAGTTATATATTCACTTATCATACAGCCTAAATATCTTTTAATTAGCAGACTAATGTTGATGCATAACGTGGCAGTCTGGTATGAAATATAAAAAAAAAACTTAATTGTTTCGGTTGCGGTTATCAGCAGGATATCACATCACCAAACAGTAGCATTCCAAGCTGTTGTTTTGAATCCTGCTACGACACACACACACGCACACAGTGTTTTTCACCTTAAATCGTCATTTTAGAATATTTATGTCCACTAAATTAAGGGTTAGTCTCTAGCGTCAAAGATAGTCTGTTAAACTTATTTGACGAAGATACGCATAAATCCTCAGAACATACATCTGTAATTATTATTTCAAATAAGTGACTGGCAAATTAATGCACACCGTAAAATAATATAATAATAATAATAATCTATTTCACATGTGTAACGCATATGACTAATATCTTTCAACTAATCCAGTCAAACAGGCACACACTTTTTTATACAAATTTGTATACCATTTCACAATTTATGGAAAAGGTTAAAATATAATAAGGTCACATCGTCAAGATAGGAAGAGGTCAAATCTTAAATGGGAAGAAAATGATGGTGTATTCAAGTAGACATTGACATGAAAAGTGAGTTGTTTTGATGGAAGACTTAGTTTACCGGTAAATTACTTTTAGAAGGATAAAATGGATTTAAATTTCCACATGTCAAAAGACACCAAAGTGTTTACTCTCAGCGACTCTGTATGTGTGTGTTTTCTCCACTACTTGAATATTATTCACCCTCGTTTATTTAATTAAGTTAGACAAATGGATAAAAAATATTTGTCTGCAACAAGTCTATACAGTTGTGATAATACATAGGTAAACATAGTGTCTGTTTTTCTTTTATAAGTAAGCATAAGTAAAAAAGAATTTAAACCGCAGCAACCACCTCAATAAACTTTACCATTGATCTTGGGAAAGTAGTCAGAATTAAGGAGTAATGAAGGTTGAGAAATTGTTAAAGCGATGACTAGAGATCATGGTGTTCTGAGATCTGTCTATATTTTTGATGCAGTCCTTTAACCTACCTCAAAATTCTAATTCGCCTAAAAGACCAGCTATGTTGTCAAGCTTCTTCCCGGCCCCCCCCCTCCCACTATATTCGTGTTTCAGTAATTTCAAATAGTCCACTGTTGACACAGTAATCAAGGCCTCGACCTTCCAGGAACTCGTTATTAAAATTCGCAACAGGAGGTATAAGTTGATTTGATGTAACTCTAATAGGTTACTGAAGGTCAGGGTAGCTGCTGAAGTTTAACTACGTCTAAATAAAATGTCAACCTAATAGAATCCAACAATGTGTGTGACTGACCACAAGTTAACATCAGTTAGAGAACCAATGGACAGCTGTTTCGCCCTACTTCAGGATTCTTCATCAGTACGCACCACCGGAGGTTCGAACCCAGGACCATGAGGTTACAAGATGACCATTCAGCTACTGGGGAGGAATCCAAGAGCTCATAAATTCCAACCTCTGAGAATTTGCGCCATGTATATACCAAAACCGCTAACCATTGTCATAGACCAGTAACTGTTCTCCTACCTGTCTTGATGAAACTCACTGGTTACTAATTCACACTAGAACTCCAGGCAAATTCTTGCATGGCGCCAGTCATTAAATGATATCTTAGGTTATGCAAAGGAAACCAGTAATTTTCATTTACGCAAATCAGATTGATATAATCACACTTTAGTTTCTTTTCAGATGAGGATTTCTAATCCCATTTTATTCTTCTAAGAGTAAATTATTATTGCACTAAACTGCCGTTGACAACTAACATTCTATGACAAGATTCACTTGATCGATATATTATGTTTCTCTTTTTTTGTCACTAGACCTTTTTCTACAAAGTGTAACCTTACAGATCCTACAAACGTAGGTGAAAAGCTTCTGTGTGTGAGTTAATTAATCGGATGATATTAGTCATGCACACTACAATTTTCGGATCATGTGAATTTCTTTCCTCATTCATTAAATGAGCTGTTTTGAAATTTCTACAAAGAGTTGTTTTGTTAGGATAGCTATCATACATACTTTTGCTTAAAACAATTATTTTACGGCAATATTCGTCCATGGTATTATTTAAGCAGATGAGAATAATTTCTCGTAGTACATAAATTTAATAATAATAATAATAATATAATTTTTCCTTCACGTTCCCCAGTGGAACATAGGGCTTCAAGCTAGTGGCTTGAAGTTTCTGAGGCAGTGTTTTTATTTTACAGGATGGGGTTGCTAGCCAGCTCATGCCCAACCTTTCCTCTTTACCAGCATTATTTCTGGCTTAGCGAGGTAAAGGAGTGCGTCGGCCGGGTCTCGAACCCCGGACCATGTGCATGGTCGGCGAGCGTCCTAACCGCTATACCACCAACGCAGTATAAAAATTTAGTTAACATAAAACAGAGTAATGTAGTGCGAATAACAACTGTCTAGTGCACAGACGAGCAACAAAAACAGGAGTTGAATTCAAGCTGCAACACGCTGAAAAAAAGAGTGAAGAAGAGTACCAGGGAAGACAAAAGAAAATATTATGAAACCATGGAAAGTCAAGCAGAATAAGCTACAGGCAAAGGAGACCTCGCCACAATCTACCAAACAACTAGACACCTATCGGGCAAAAGTTCGACACAGACTAAACCAGTAAAGGATGACAATGGCAAGTCAATCACCAAAGAGGTAGAGCAAAGAAAACATTGGGCTGAACACTTCAAAAGACTTCTAAATCGTCCGCCACCTACAACGCGCCCAACAATACCAACAGCGGAAGCAGAACGACCAGTGAACATCGACCCTCCAACGAAATCAGAAGTCCTGAATGCAATCAAGATGCTAAAAGCTGGGAAAGCAGCAGGACCAGATGGAATCCCAGCAGAAGCATTGAAAATGGACCTACCTACCTGGGAAGCGTCGTTTCAACTACAAGGCGGAACTGACGAGGATATCAAAGCCAGAATCGGAAAAGCAAGACAGGCTTTCATTACTCTTAAGTCTGTGTGGAGGTCAACATCGCTCAGCATTAAAAATAAGATCCGGATTTTCAACTCCAATGTAAAGTCAGTGCTACTATACGATTGGATCAGAGACTTGCACTGCGCGTCATAAAGAGCACCTCAAACAAACTTCAAACCTTCATCAACAGTTGTCTTCGCTCAATAATCAAGACCAGATGGCGGGCCAGAAAAGATCAGAAACAGGGATCTCTGACAATGAGCAAACCAACCCAGCAGGAACCGATTGTGAAAGAAATAGGCAGGAAGAAATGGATAGGGATTGGCCATACGCTGAGAAAACCATCAAGTGAGTGACATCACTAGACAAGCCATTGCTCGAGTGGAACTTGAAAGGGAAGTGGCGAGTCGGTCGTCGGTGCAAGGGTGACTTGGAGGTGATTTGAAGAGGAGATGAAAGCATGTGGGCAGACTTGGAGCGGGTGAAAAAGTTGGCAGAGAACCGAAGGCAATGGAGACGCGTGGTTGAAGCCCTATGTTCCTCTAGGAATTAAAGGATATAATAATAATAAACAATAATATTTCATCGCTGTGTGGTATATGAAATAAACTTATCCAATGTGGAATCATATTCTACCACAGTAACTGAGTTCTACCATTCACAGATTAGGTAATTTTTGAATAATTCTTCACCTTACTAATAAGTAGTATATATTGTCAAATAAAGTATAATTATATCTTAATAGTTTACACACGATGATAAGTTTTGTTATTGGTAATAATTCGAGCAAAATTACTGGCCGTGTTCACACCACTGTTGGAATTGTTTTATTCCATATATTGTATTTACAAATTTTAATTTTACAGGAATACAAAGTGATGTGACGGAGTCAAATCATGCATTATCAAACAAATTACATTCTCCTTATTTAAATCCACTGAAACCAATGCCTTCTAAATCTTACAGCATGAGCGTTTTATTAGCAAAGCCGATTTATGTGGCTTTGGGGATCGCCATATCCATCATCCTAATTGGTCTTATATTCCTGTCAACCGCCCTACTACTTTATCGTAAACACAAACACTTTCCTATTACTAATTGTCATACAACTTGTAATTATTCATGTCATAATAATAGAAATACTCTAGCATCACCTATTAGTGAAAGAGTCAATCATATAAGTGCTATAGGAATGTCAGAAAATATAAACAACTGTCAAAATTGGAGTCAAATGAGTATCGTATATCCAAATAAGCATTCAAGTGATCAACCACTTTTCTTAAATGGTATCAATTCTACTGAAAGCATAAATCCTTCTACGGAATATCGATCATCCCCATTAGGTCAGATGGATAATAACTGGATGAAACCAATCAATAATGTGACTTCACAAGAGTAAGTTATTCAGTATTAGATCGAAATTTTTAAATGATCGTAGAATTAACTTTCATAATCACATTGATTAACTGATATATCTGATGTTATTAGTCTAGATGTAGCCAGTCCTGAAACCGAAGACTCTCACTTCATCCTATTTTAGACTTCTCCTTAAGATGTGTCTGCATCCCAGAGGTAGCCTTTCCATAGAGACTCGAACTGTGCTCGTATCACTTGAAATGCCAGAGCCTTTTCCACTTCTGACAGTCATGAAAAAAATGACTACGTTTCATTGCAACTTGATGGATTCTAAGTTGTATATATAATATCCCTTCTATAAAAAATACTTTTATACTGAAATTTAATCGTTATCACCAAACAGTATGAAACTATTTGAATAGTATGTGAGAGAAGATTCACTCTCTCTATATATACATATGAAAAAGAGAAGACGTTCAGCGAAGAGACTTGTTTCGGCGAATTCATTCACATAGCTGTACAATCGCATTTAGATGTAATTATTTGTGAGTATGTGTGTACATGAGGTTTGTCCAGTTTAGATAATTGATCAGGTAATAAAAGAATGATCTAATATAGCAACAAGGTTAATCAGACAGCAACTAAAGTAAGATTGAGTTAGTTAGTAAGTTAGATGACGACGTAATATAATTGACTAAAGTGTTTCAACTTAGGTCAGGGTAGCAACAGAAGTGATTACAGGTAGAGACTAAGTAGAGCTGGGGTAGATAATAATGCCACTTAAATTAGAACTGACATTGAGCAAATAAGTTGGATGACGTAACATAAATGACTAGAAATTTAGCGTTGGTCAAGTCAGTAACAGTGGTAGTGAGGGGCAGAAATTAAATCGGGTGGAGGTCGAGAACAAGAAGGTTGAAAATGTAAAATGTAAATGTACAAGTGAGAAGACAAAATAATACTAATGAAGAGACAGAAAAAACAAAAAAAAGATTAGGTAGAATTTACTTGTCGGGTAATAATATAGATTAAGTCCATTGTAAGTGTAATGATTGAATGAACTTCTTCTGTATGCAGAGTTCAGGACTTAGCAAGTGAATCGCCATCGCTTCTGTAGTTTGAAAAAGTCTGATTCGTACACCATTAGTAAGACTACATATACATATATATGTCGAGGGTTTTCCAGGAGAAATGGTTGTCAAGACAACAGATTGGTCTTAAATCTGTTAACTTTAGGGTTTAGTGTGACAAACAACAACAGTTTCTCTCTCATTTTGAATATCCCTGACAAATTGTAGAGAAAGCGTTACTACATGCTACAGAAATTGCCTTCTAATAAATAAATGTGGTGCGATTCGGAATTTTCCCAACCTATCGGCATATGGCGAAGTTGAACAAGTTATATTCTTATGTAATCACAGAGTCATTGATTCACACATTCACAATAATGTTTATTTAACCATCTGGTGGATAGATGAAGAGACACATTTAAATGCATACGAATACAGTTATTGCACAAAATGAAATGTTTATTAAGACAGAGACCAGCTTTCTATGCTCTCGCGAAAGCAGCATTTCAGTTTGATTTTCTGAATTTAGCTCTGAACTTAAGACTGTATCTGATACCAGAAATTATAGTAAACAATTTGATAACCCTAAGGTCTTGAGGGAGCATGTATTCTTTGCTTCTCCTACATCACACACGCTGAACGGTACAGTAAAGCCACTTTTATTACAGTTATTAATAATTATCACTAACTTCATAAACAGACACATCCCTAAGATGTATCTGGATACAATAACTCATAACTAGGACAAAACAGCTGTCCAGTACTCCCAGGTATTCCAATGGTTCTCTAACTGATGTCAGCTTATGATGAAATCCTGTAACCGATCGACCAAATCCCTACAAACCAATACTTGAATAACTCAAAATGAATTTTTCAGCAAGAAAAACTCCTTTAAAACCAAGAGTGTAACATCAACATACCAATGAGTTTGAAAGGGAACAAAATATACTTTCAAAGTACCAGTGTTTACCAACATATTTATCTTATTTATTTATAGCTTGATTCCACACTGTATTTTTGGTACAACTATGGAGTATTCACCATATAACATCGGTCGCCCAAATGTAGCAGGTCGACCACTGATATCAGGTGTGCGTCGGCCGGGGATCGAACCCCGGGCCATGGGAATGATCAACGAGCGTCCTAACCGCTGTGCCATCGACCTGGACAACCCAACCTCCAATAGGTATTCCATATTGGCGTCGTGTTTACAGTGGACGCCCGATCAATATGAGCACTCATATGCCAGAACTCCCAATCCCGGGAAATTCCACACCCTGGCCTATAAGTAGATAGATTATAGGCGCACACTACCGCATGCTAAATGGTAGGAACAACTTTTATTCGATAACCAGACATTGTAAAGAAGTACATTGCCTGACAATAAATGCACATATAACATTCTTACTTTATTTATTCGTTTACAGATTACAGAAAAATACCAATGTGGCAAAGTCACTTACATACTATTGCACTTATTGTTGGTGTTGTTTTCCATACAAAGACAGTGTTATCATGATTAACCAGAATCATGAAAATCATACAAAGAATAAAAATGTCAAATCAATAGACAACTTATCTCATCTCTTTAAAAGAACACCAGCGACAACAACAAGTGACAGTAATAATATTAATAATAATAATGATACTAATACTAAGAGCATTTCTAATCCTCTTGAAGGCCATCCTCACCATCATCCAGTAAGATGTGAAGAAAGTGAAGTTAGTCTGAGTACAGAAAATCAAAAATATGATCCAAGCAGTATATCTACACCATTATTTAGCATACATTCAGCGTCAACACAACAAATACAAGATTTAGTGGATTATAAAATGTTGAACTCGAACAATATCAACAATTACGACAACACCCCCAACAACAACAATAATAATAATAGTAATAATAATAATAATAGTAACAATCGATCATTATTCATTAGCAACCAAAATACATTCACATGGATTCAGAGTCAACAAACTCAAGCTCAGAACCAAACACATCTTCATCATCAAAACAGCTTTCCTGAAACACTTCAACGCTTAAATTCAAATTTAGTAGGCAAACAGATAGATAAACAAAAAATGCATTCATTGTTCAATGGGTTAAATGAAAATTATTCCGATTCAAGTTATTTATATGATAATAACAACCATATTAATAATAATGATAACAGTAATTCAGATTATGAGCTAGTTAAAACAATGCCAAAGCATAAATCACATGAAAATGATTTACACTGTAAAGCAGAGGAAGTTAATTCAGATAATCAGATAAGAAGTGATATTAATGGTAACAGTAATGTAAAAAATCGAATCAGTACTACAACTAATAAAAAGATATGTTTACCAGGAATATACCATAATACAGGTATGCATGTAGAATGCAATAAGAGCCAACAAGACGATGTACCTATACCCATTCAGTTATCCGACTTAACCTTTCCTCATCTTCCACCGCCTCCATCTTATCCGCCACCCCCGTTAACTAATCAACAACAACAACAACAACAGCGAAGCCAACAACGATTCACCGAGAATCAATCAGCTCAAAATAAAACTTCCCTCCTTATAGAGCTACAACGATATGATGGTCTATTATTACAACGTCAAAGAGGCACTGGAAAGACGAGTAGTGGTGGAGAAGACAGCAAAACAATAGAAAGTGAACAATCAGAAGTAAATCCAGCCTGGAAATCATCATATAATTCCCATGAAAATAGTAGTATAGCTAGTACAACTATATTAGGACAAAGAAAACATTTTGCTAACCATCAGAGAATACAAGATTATTCACCGGATTTTAACAAGTTATCTGGACATAAATTTATACAGAATGATTTTATTGGATTGGCAACATTTCGTAAAGCGGATGATGAAAAGTCTATCGATTTAGTTACACCTTATGCACAATTCGATTTATCCTCAGACTCAAGTGTGTACAATAACTCAAAACAATAATAAGTTTGCAGTTGTTGCTGCTATAGTTTTGTTTGTTTTTTTCTAAAGAATATTTATATAACGGACAAAAAAAATGCTACTTTATTATGCAATACAGATATCACGCCTTGTTCATTTTTCTAAGCATATAATAAAGTCTTTTTTTAAAATATATTTTCAAATGTTGTACATTTGCTTTTGTTTTCAATTTCCCGTCATTTTCCCTGTACATTTAACATAACATGGCTTGAGTAGCTAACCAAAAATCAGTCGAAGTGGTTTGAATTGACTCTCATCTCTCTGAGTTGAGCGAACCTAGGTACACCTTTATTTAGGTGAACTCAGATTCGAATAAACGGAATGACTGTGAGTGCTGATCAGAACACTTCAATCTGACTAGCATGCACTACTAGTTGATATGATGAAATGGTATCCAACTACTCATCTCAATCAATTAGTAGTATGTAGTTCCACATTGTTTCAATAGACAGACAGTAGCATGAGTGACCACTGAATGCATACATTCACATCATGACGGCAAAACATCGTGCGATTAATTCCCAGCTGTGCATGTTACAAGTATATGTTGCTATGGTTAACTAAATTGGCAAAAACGAGGATAAAAACTGCTAGATGTGGTGATAATACACATTAACTGATTTTATAATAGCCTATACTTTCACGGCTGGAAAAATCAATATAAAGAGTCACAAAAGAATAAGAATAATTGGTCAAAAGGGAATAGACAGCTTCAAAGTAAGTATATCAAAAGATACATTGTAATAGAAAAGAAATTATTCTGGATATATATACTCTATAAGGCATGGAATCATTTACCCTATCTTGATAATTCTTCCTGTGAGGTGCATATATATATATATATATATATATATATATATATATATATATATATATATATATATATATATATATATATATATATATATATATATATATATATATATATATATATATATATATATATATATATATATATATATATATATATATATATATATATAGGCTTATCACAGAATTTGAGTAGTGTGTCTATCTGTCTATTCTCGACATAGAACTTTGCATAGATGTGCAACAGTTCAAGTCGCCACACTCCTTCCTTGTATCACACAAACCAACAGAAGAAAGTAGAAGAAATGCATAATAGAAACAGTAAACCGAGGTGTGAGACAAAGGAAGAATAATAACGAAGAGCGACATAGTTTCATTGGAAAGCATAATTCACAAGGAGTAGATGCATCTGCGCTATGCATTGAGAACGATTTTGAGCCATATCACCAATTGTTTCCAGCCATTGGTTTTTACCGTCCCGAGGACCCCAACTAGAGAGTCCACACCGTCCTACGTGGCTTAGACTAACTGTTGAAAATTTCGTTGACTGGTGATGCCATGTTTTGGTTTGACCGCCACTGGCTAGCTCTTTTCTAGCCTGACCCTATGTCATCCAGATAACATTGCCCATTGTCGAGGAAGGCGATGACTAGGCAGGAATGTGTAACACATGTCCTAACCATCTCAGTCGATGTAATTTCCCAACCTCGTAGATTGACTTCCCCTCCTTACCTAGCACTCGACCGATGCCTAACCTCAATATTGCTCACCTTATCATACCACTTCACTCGGGAGATAGAACGCAGGCACCTATGATCAAAGACAGCTAATCTTTTCAAGTCTTCCACTCTCATTGGCCAGGTCTCACAGCCATAAAGGAGGGATCCAGTCATGAAGTGATTTTTCCGCCCTAACACTCAGTACTATCCCCACAACTGCGAGTCCTCGCGAGCCATATGAGGGGTCTCCTGACACCCTTAAAGTGAATTTTGCAGATTCCCGTAGTTGACCGGGTGAGGTCAAGTGAATGACCACACTCGGGTCCTGTATGCATGTCTCCGAAACACAACATACATCCATGGCTCGAGATTCCAGAGTTCTCGCCCGTGATGCTTGTTGTCCAATTTGGCAGAGGGTCCTGACGTTAAATGCTCCTATATGAAGTTGGTTACGTGGCTTCAAAAGGCTGTCTGGGGTGTTTCTATGGCTCTCACCGTTGTTCGTGGTCACAGAGTGAAGTGAAGATGACTCATTAGCCTGCAGAATAGTACTCACTGTAGTAGAGAAGCAAGATGAGAAAGGTGATGTGGGTAAAGGAGAATGATGCTCAGGGAGGCTTCGTGTGGTTTCGGAAGTGTGTGGGCTGTTGTTACTTCCCGGCTGCCTACACCGTGGAAGTTTATTGCTTCTTCTGGTACTTGAAACAGAAAGAGTGTTGCGTGACCGCAGAGCCCAGGGGACAACTGTTTGAGGCTGGCCACGCACGGCCTGTTTTTGTTTGTTCTTTTTTGTCTGGTGTGTTTCAGTAGCATATTTATCACTTCTGTCCTGTGACACGGCAGCAGGAAGCGCCGTCGTTGTTAATCCGGGCCCTGACCGATCCGGCATGATATTTTGTGAATTTGTTTGAATCATAGTATTGGATTGGGTAGTTGCTTTTTGTCTAACCACTATCCAAACAGCCTTTCTGGCATGGTAGGACCTCAAGAGACATAAGTCTGAGCCAGTATAGCTTGTTGGATCATCACGGTGTTCAAGCCCGACCACCACGTCAAGGCAGCAGCTTTCGGTCGGGTTGAGTAGTATGAGAAAATGAATTGTAGGATATGACACATTCCGAATGATTGATTTGGTAAAGCATACTGGCGCTGGGTTCAGGGTGATCGAGAATGCTCTGATTCTGGGTGAAGGCTAACCATTGCACCTCGGTGGGTTGACAGTCGCGACGAACCCTGATCGAGTGCGCTCGGCCGGGCAGTTTTTGTCAGTGGGTGGCTTTACAGTCCCCTTTTTATTCTGCGTCGGTAGCACAGTGGTCAGGAATCTCGCCGACCATGCACATGGTCTGGGGTTCGATCCCGGCCGACGCACCCCTGAAATCAATGGTCGACCTGCTGAATTTGGGCGACCAATATTAAGTGCTGAAAATCCCACACTGGTATCAAAAATACTGTGTGGAGTCAAGTAAGAATAAAAAAATAAACATTTTGGGCATTGTTCGTATTATATAATCATACAAAGAGTATGGCGCGAAAGGTTTTGGTGATGTTTTTAGTCGATATTTGATGACATTTACATTTAAAGGTACAACACTATCATCTAGACATTCTCACTCCAGATATATCACGTAATAGTTAGCAGTCTTCACTGATTCCCCCTTCTAATCTCTCTGAGACTGGCTAGTAGAACTGACCTACAAACTCCAGTTACTTGTGGGACTTCGATATATTCACATCAATACCAACTGGCAAATTCACAGGTGCTACTACTTAACAGTTTTGTCTGCTTTTGTTTTGTTGCGATTTCTGAGCTGGATGACTTCACTGTAAAGCTTACATTATCCTTCAGAAAATCTCCAACGTTAACTAGTCACCAAATAGAACCAATGTTGTGATGCCCAACCCATTTTTCAGGAAGGCATAATAAACCAGAAGTATGAAAAGCAACTTGAAGAAAATTTGGATTCTGATAATCTGTCTGGATTCAACATAGAACTTGGCACTGAAGTGCAGCAGTTCGAGTTGCCAAGTTCCAAATAGCACACAAAGGTAGACAAGAAGATGAGTGGAGAGAACTAACAGAGTTTCACAAGTATAAGAGTGAAACAGAATGAGTAAAGGTAGAAAGGAATATGAAAGATTACAGAGACTGAATACATCTGCGCTGGCCATTGACAACGATTTTGAGCCATGTCACCTATTGTCTCCAACCATTGATTCCTAGAGTCCCGAGGGCCCCAACCCGGAAGTCTGCATCTCCCTACCTGACTCAGTTTAACTGTCAAGGATTTCATGGATTGATGCCATGTTTTTGTTTGACCACCACTTACTCTTTTCCAACCTGCCCCTATATCGTCTAGTAATGCCCTCCACAAATCAATGAATTAATTCCTGTAGATTTTTAAAGTATAGGTCCTAGACTTTATATATTTCCAAAGAATACATTCATGCATTTCAAAATAGTTGATGCTTCATTTTTCTAAGCAAATATTGAAAATTCCAGGCTATAGAAATCTGAAAGACAGTATTTCTAAGCCAAAATAACATTTTTGAATATGATGTTATGAAGACAAGTGGTTTTCCAGCATAACTGCATATTTTAGTCTGTATTATTCTCTAAGGTCCAGAGCTTTACCACAGAATCACCATTTCATACTCACCTCGGAAGTCTTTTTAGTCGGCCCTATGATCTCCTATAAGCTCTCATTTTTTTCCTCAGATGATCTCTTTCATGTCACCCTAGGAGGCTCAACTCGTCGTTTGTTGTCCGCGTCCCACTCGAGGATTTGGTGTGTAAGTTCAGCCCATCTACACTATCTCCAGCATATTTGTTAGGCAACAGATTCTAGATCGGTTCGTTACTTCCCAGGGTCCCTTGTATGTTATGCTTTTCAACTATCTTATGTTTACCTCATTTTTATCGAATCTGTAAATGACTGATGTCTGCTTGATCAAACTTTGAGTAATCAGTGGATAGCATAATTATCAAATGTGGAAAACAGGAAGTAAAATGTGTGAATAAAGAAACGCATATGACTATTACTATTATTCCCTTGAGTTTTGAGTAGAACATAGGGCTTCAACAACACATCTCCACTTTGTCCTATCTTCTGCCATCCTTCTTCAGCTTAGACCACGGTCGCCCACAATCTCTCATCTCCTTCATTCCACCCTAGGACGACCCAATCGTCGCTTTCCTTTGCGATTCCACTCGAGCGATGGTTTACATTGCGGTCGATGTCATTCAACGATCTCCTCATTGTATATCTGATCCATCTCCATTTTCTCCTACATATTTATTGAGCGATCGATTCTTGGCTGATTTGTTCCCACAGTTTCTTGCTATTTATTCTTTCTGGCCATTTGATTATCAGTATGGAGCCGGACAGCGAAGGCAATTGTTGATGAAAGTCTGCAGCCTGTTGGCAATCCTTTGCGTGACACGCCAAGTGTCTGACTTGTGTAGAAGGATCAACTTGATATATATATATATATATATATGACTAGGTGATAATTATTTACTTCTCTAACTTTTAATGCCTTATAAACTGATTACATCTTTTTGAAAAATGAG